CGGTGACCATATTTTTTGGGGGAAAATAAAGGACATATCGAAGAAAATTAAAAAATCTTATAAAATTCATAAGTTTATAACATTTATTACACATACATACACATTGTAAAAATTCAAATAACATTAATTTTGATACTTTTCAGTAGAATTAATTTTTTTTAATAGCACTGGTTCACGCTTTAAAAAGTCATAAAATTCTATACAGTTCATTTGAAAGTTGTATTTGACAGAAATAATGTGCTTACTTTTAACTGGGTTTTTTCATTCGTCCACATATTATTCACCAATGAAAATATTCGTTCGACGATGCATTAGATCCAGGGAGACAAAGAAAATTCTACGATTTTACAAATGTTTTTGAAAACAATTTTTTTGTTGTAAAATGTTCAAAAATCTCAACCCATTTTTGATGGCAGGGCTTGTTATTCTGTCGCCATTCGTTGATCTTTTTGTTTGTGACATATTTTTTTACACACAAAACTTCATCAAATAATTCACTGTCGAGTATATTTACAGACCAATGATTCGAAATAAAAATTTAGCTTTCCTCTACCTTCACCCACAAAGGGATTTTGAGTAATGTGACCCATTCAAACACCTCTATTTCAATAAAACACATGTCCCAATTATTTAGCACATTAACAGTAAATATGTCACATGCTCGAGCCTCCGAAGATTGTCGACAAGTGTCGACAAATGCTCACCAACGCTCCAAGTGTATCATCCACCAACCAGAAAGTTAAAAAACTATCAGAAAAATCCCCATAAGAGTGTCCACCCCTTGGTACTGTCAAAGGGCCGTTCGATTGGTGACACACTGCACTACCGCGCTCTATGTAGCAACGTATGGACATGATGACAACACTAATCGCGATGGCATACACGAAACTAACTTGTTCAATATATTATTAAAAAAGTTTTTAAACTTTGCATTGAATTTACAAAATAAAGGACAAAATGCCTATTTTATAAAATAAATAAAGTTAGAGGACAGAGCAGTGAAATAAAGGACTGTCCTCTTAAATAAAGGACGTATGGTCACTGTATCCTAGATGGAACACAATTATGAAATTTGAATTTGAACATAAGAACAAATTGATTGCCACATAGAATGTATATTAACATAGATGTAGTACTTCACTTCACCGTAGAAAAAGAATTACATTCAAGTAGTAGTGGTCTTTCTTATACATTAATTCATTAAGAATTTATTCAGCATGACCTAAACAAATGTATGTATCCCAAACACTTTAGAGCAGTTTTTCCCAATGTGGGGCCCACACCCCACAGGGGTGCAATTTGAAAATGGACTCATCCAGAGTTTAAGTTAATTCTGACTTTATAAAATAGATGTTGTTTCCATCTATGCTCTACTTTGCTAATTAATGTACTTTTATTACACAAAGGGTTTTCTTAATATAGGTATACCTCACATTATTGAAAGTACAGTAATTGGTTCCAGGAGTGGCGACTTAAGTCAAATTTACTTGTCTCCAAATTTATTTGTCACTAGGCTAAACCACAAATAACCATTCCCAGTTCTGTATTTTATTTATAAATGCATTTTTAATAATATATGATTAATAAGAATCTATTTTAAGCTTACAAACAAATAAATTTTAGTTTTTAATATAGTACAGAAAAAAGTAATCTAAATTTACGAATACATATACAGTACTTACGCGATAGGTGGGACCGAGCGATAACCATGTAAGTCGAATTCGTGTAAGTCAGGGTATAATTTTGCATACAAATTATTTTTATTTGGGGCCAGAGACTAAAGAAAACAATAATTTAGAAAAGCATGTTTCCAAAAGTCTTTAACAGAGAGTTTGTTGTTTTGTCTCATAGCTTCAAAAGTCTTTAACAGAGAGTTTGTTGTTTTGTCTCATAGCTTCATGCAGATGTGCAAACGATAATTTCGTGTAATGAGCTTTGAATGTTTTCATAACTCCCTGATCCACCAGTTGAAACAAGTTGGTTGTATTTGATGGCAAAAATACAACTTTCGCATGTGAGTCAAAATTAGTTAAAGTTGCAGGGGGGATGACCCGGTGCGTTGTCGATTATGAGCATCACTTTAAATGGAATTTGTTTAGATTGGCAATAACGTTCGATTTCAGATATGAAGTGATGACCAAGCCAGTCCTCAAATAGGGACGCTGCCACCCAAGCTTTACGATTTGACTTCCAAATCACAGGCAAGCCAGCTTTAGATTTTTTTTCAATGCTCTTTGATTTTCCATGCAATAAACTAAGAGAGGTTTTAACTTACAATCACTAGCTGCATTCGTGCCAACCATCACTGTCAATCGATCTTTGGCGACCTTAAAACCTGGAAAGGTTCTCTCTTCATGCATGATAAACATTCTTTTAGGCATCTTCTTCTGGAACAGGCCAGTCTCATCTACGTTGAATATGGTTTGGCTGGTATAGCCACCTTCATCTATCATAGCTTTGAATTTCTCTGGATAGTAAGACACAGCCTCTTTATCAGCACTTGCTGCCTCTCCACTTTCTGCAATGCTATGCCAATTACAGCGACTTTTGAATCGGCTAAACCAACCGTTACTAGCTTTAAATTATTCATCTTTAGCCACCTCTCCAGCATCCTCTTTCAATCTCTCAAAAACCAGCTTAGCTTGAGAGCACACCGTGTTCTGATCAACAGGACAATTTTTCACATTTACTTGATTATCACACCATAATTTTAATATTGTTTCCATCTCAGCGATAATACTGTGAAGTTTACGAATGATGCTTGAATTTAAAAATTGAGCATTTTTCGCAGCTTCAAGAATTTTTTCTTTACTTTTTATAATTGTCCTGACCGTCGATTCCAGTGATTCTTTGCCAATTCACAAATTTTCATTTTTGTATCGAAGTTAATAATGTTAACTTTACATTCCAAAGATTTTTTCTTGTTTGATGCAGAAGAATCAGTTCTACTTCGTTTGGATGGCATAGTAGAGTCTCTCAAGTTTCAGTAGATATAACAAATACAGAAATAAATAACACAGAATAAATTGTAGCTATGAGTCGATTCTGTGTGACATGTCCGAACATGTAAACTAAACAATAGTGTGGGGGAGAATGAGTAATCAAGGGTTGCGTGGTGCTCAAACAAAAGAGGAATTGACACGATTTGAAAATTGCGTAACTCCGGGTTCGCATAAGTCAGGGTAACATAAGTCGAGGTATTACTGTACATACATACATACATACATACTTGTATATGTACATGTTTACAATTTGGCAATGCTTACAATACTCTTTATTTGTGAATGTGATTTGCTCTAATACATTATTAAATAAGATGATTTTGTAAGGTTAAATAAAAATACAGTTATTAAAATTATTTTGCGATAGTAAAAAATAAACTAATTTATGTTAAATTTACCAATATTGAGTGGCACTAACAGCGATGTCAAACGGTAGATATTGGAACTACTGTGGAAGACGCTAATGATGAGCTCTTAAAGACCACTAAATAAGACAACACAGAGTCACAGATGTTTTCATATTTCGTTCTCTAGGATTTATGATGATTATATATAACATTTACTGTAATTGTACATATTTTAATATGATTTTATGTACTTTTAACGCTTTTCTGGTGATATACGACTTAAATATTTGTGACAGACAGATGTAAAGTCGAATAAAATGACTTAAACTTGATTTTTATTTTTCTATGTATTTTTTTGACAAACAATGTATAATTGAGAATGACTTAACTCAAAACGACGAAACCCAAGGTATACCTGTACATAACTGCTTGCTGTTCTCTCTTTTGGTTGTATGTTTTTTGAAATTAAGCACAAATTTGCTATGGAGAACTTATCATATACGAACACTTTTTTCCTGTATAATAAGTTCTCTGTAGCAAATCTGTGCTTAATTCCAAAGAAAATACAAAGGATTTTCTATGCAACAAGTATTGAAAATAAGTGAGGCCCTTTTACTTGTAACACACAATTATTTTTGCTTTAATAAGGAAATTTATGTTCAGAAACAAGAAGTGCCAATGGACTCGCCTCTCTCAGCAGTCCTGGCTGAACTAATTATGAGAAACACGGAGTTTATAGTATTTTCTGCATCTCTTGTAACATGTTATCCACATGTTATGGAATTAGAAATTGGTTCCACAAGTTTTTACAAGTTTCTTTACAAGTTTACAGGCATAATTAATAGCATTTTTTTTAGCCCTTCCTTGTTTGATGAAATTCACAAAGTACAATAAATACCATACATTTTTAATTAGATTTAAATCCAGACTGATCAGTGACCAGTCCATCCTTTCCAACTTTCTTTGAGTGAAAAATTTCGCAACTGATGTTGCTCTGTGGCATGATGCACTTTCATCTTGGAAGATGACGTGCTCACCACACAATTGGTTTTCAACTGTTGGGATAAGCAATCCTTCCAGTATCTCTATATATAGTTTTCCAGGTCCTCATGCTGAGATAATGACCATATCAAGAGAAACTAAAAACATTTCACTTTGCATTTCACATACTTGTCTTGATACTCACCTTTCCTTTCCCATATGAATGAACAACATCATCACCATAGTTGATGATGATCTTTTACTCATTGCTAAAGACGGCATGACTCCATTCTTTTGTTCTTTACTGTTCTGTTAGAGATTTGTGTTCTGCCGATCCCAGTCCAAGCATCATTCAGTTGCTTTGAGGTTGCTGTGGCAAACTGCTGGTGCAATATCGTCTTGGCATCCAGAGATTATCGTAGGTGCCCACTTTTGGATCAAGTTTTTAGTTTTTGTTGTATACTTTTATACCTTATTTACAGTGAACTGTGAAACTCCATTGTCTACACAACCCAACATTGAGAATATTCATTCTTCATTAATGCAATGATATGATTTTTTTACATCTCAGACAGCTCAGTCATTGGAGTCATTTCAATTACCAATATTAGGAACCACTGAAAACAGTTAAGGCACACAAAACAACATTGAGTAATTTAGTATTTTGCATTAGATAAGCAATACACTAATTTTCATAAGTTTGTTTATTTTAAGTAGATAAGCAGAAAATTTGTTACATATTTCCACGACTTTGTATGCTTCAAAACTTCTTCCTGGATCAGTTTGTTATTTTTGTCCTAAAAAATTTTTCTTTTGCATTTAATTGCCATTTACATGTTTAGGATTTGCTTATTGGAACTTAGGTTTGTTATCAGTTAATTTCTGTAACAAAGATGAAATACTCTATACATGAAATTACTATAATGACACAAACGAATTGTTAACATCAGAAAAAGTGTGGTGATTCCAAACTTTTTCCATGAAGTAGGTAGTATTTGTCCATCTCTAGTTATATACATTTTAGAACCTAATACATTTCTATCCTATTTCAATATGTATACTGTATTTACTCATGTATAAGGCAAGCGTGCATATAGGACGAAGTGTGACTTTAAAGATCAAAACATAGTAAAATTAGATTTATTAATACAATTCTAATTTTATTTCGTTTAATCACAAGTAAAATACCAAATAAACAAATGCACACATTGTCCTGCAAAAATTATGGGCATTTTAAACTTTAAGAAAAAATCTTGTAAAATCGACAACATAATTTGTTCAATTAAAGCTGGACAATCGGGAACCCTTTTTGGCCAATTCTTATCAGTCAAATCCACTCTCCATCAATTACACTTAGAGTTTCTCCAAATTCTGATTTCCAAATAATCATCTGTTTTCACATGGGAATGGATTAAAACTTATATCAGGCTCCTGTGTGATTCTGGAATTTCAATTCGGAATTCAATTCAAAAGATTTGTTTTTCTTATTGCTATTCATCTTTACTCCTGACAATACACAAGAACAATTCAAATGACCCAGAAAATACTTTTATTTTTAAACACCATAGGATGAGCATCCAGTAAAAAATGCAAATACTCAGTTCACAAAAATTATTGCAAAAACACAAAGAATCCTTCAATCGTGTGTATAGGACGACCTAAGTTTTTGAAGCAGTGAAAAATGAATAAAAATCTTGTCTTATGTGCAAGTAAATATGGTAAATGTACAGGAAATCCTTGTTAGTTAAAAATTCAAGGAACAAAATAATCACAACTTCAAATTATCAAGTTTTGAATTATCCAAGATTTACATATTTCTGTACAATATGCCAAATGCCATGTAATTAATGTAATTTATTAAGGAAACAGAATATGGCTACATATACAGAATGCTGTTTTTGTTAATTCATAATAATAATAATATAAAAAAACTGCAGGTAAACCACATGTGCAACGAGAACCCAATTCAGATAGGTTTTATAAAAAGTAAAGCAGAATTCCTTAAAATGTAATCCAAATTATTTTTAGAGTGGCCAAACATGTAATAAGTCACCCAAATGTAGTAACCTAGTGCCTACAAATTCTCAATCTGCTACTTGCAGCCCAATCTTACAACCCTGAAAACCAGCCATATTTTATAAGAGAAGAAAAGGGTAGTCCATGGGTAAGGTGACACTCGAAAATGTGTTATGGTAAAAACAAAGTTATATTGACCAGATTAGAGTTGTTCTTGGTCTGTTGTTCTTTTATAGCATGGATGCACTTCCAATGTAATGAATGAGTTAATATACACATATTACAGTTTGAATAGAATTTTCATTTGAATTTTGAAGTATCCATATTTTGAACTAACCAAATTTCTTAACATGTAAATCTCTATATCCCCATTCAGGAGAAAAGTACAGTTATGAACTGATGGGATTTTGAACTATTCGAGTTCAAACTAACAAGGATTTCCTGTATTGATATAATTTGCAAAAAATCTAAATATATAATTTAGATTTGAATTCAANATATAAAAATTAATAATGAATTCCTAAAAATAATAAAATATATCAAATTATCAAAATTTATTAAGTATAAGTTTATTAAAGAATGGTTCCTATGTTATAAACATCTCTGTATAAACCAGAATTTGTATCTGTGATTCAAATCCTGGTTTATACAGAGATGCTTATAATGTTTATATAAGATCTTTAGGTTTGGTTAATGGAAGCTTTCAATTATTGCTGATTGTCAAAAACCCAGACTTCAACCAAAATAACACAATTTTTTGTTGTATACAGTCGACCCCCCTATAATTACGGTCCCTATAATTACGATTCCTATAAAACTACGAAAAAATTGTGACCAGTATCCGTAAAAAACAGTAAAAATTCCCTATAATTACCTCAAACGTTATCGGGCAGCTGAACTACTTTCCCACCGTCCGTAGCGCCACGCTACGGAGAGATTTCTATCGTCTGGACAGTATTATATAAATTATATATAAATTAGGTACTGTACATATAATTATATATTAATTATATATAAATTAGGTACTGTATATATAATTATATATTAACTTAATTTATTGTAACTTTATTATAATTAAATATATATTTTTCACCGTCTAGCGTCACGCTACGGCGAGTTAGGCGACCTATCGTCTGTGTCAGTATGTAAATTAGGTACCGTAAGTCTAATACAGTATTTCAATTTTATACATTTCTTGTGAAAGAAACATTTCTG